GTGTGTGTGTGTGTGTGTGTGTGTGTGTGTGTGTGTGTGTGTGTGTGCGTTTGCTTATGTTATATTTGGGGTCGTGAACACGTTTACACACCAGTCATTTGGGGACACCTTGGCAAGTGGGGACCAAAACCACGGTCCCCAATTAGAGAACCTTATAATCGCATTCAGCACGCTCCAAAATGTATTTTAATCCAAAAATCTCAAACGTCCCAAAAAGTCACTAAAATAGGTTTTTTTGTGTATGTGTATGGTTTCGCCCCTCGCCTCCCCACAAAATCTGTGTATACCTCAATGTTGTCCCTAGTGGGAGTGTGTAGAACTGCATTAAACTTCATAGGTGGCCTATGTAATGCCTGATGATAAAGAATCATAAAATAGAAACTTAAACTATAAGTAGGACCACATAGTAGCCCATGTTTTGCCTGATGTAAAAAATTTAAACAAATGAATGGGCACATGGATTAAGCAAAAATGAAAACTGTTCTAAAAAACTGATAAAAAATATTGTCTTTTGAAAGTTATAATCTTAGTGTCAGCAAATTAGCAGCACTATATTTTCAAATACTATTTTAACATGTCAAAAGCATTGTATACTAAATACTCTAGTGATTTACATTAACTTTTTGGACTTGTTTGCTTACAGTTTATTAAAATATATTCCTATTTCCATATCTCCACCTATCATGGTCTGTATAGCAATGTGCATTTAAGTAATTATGCTACAAAAAGTAAATTAACTGAACTCCTTGAATTGATCAATATGCATTTGCTGTATGTCATTAACATTAGAATATCCAATTACTAATTTATTCCAAATACAAATTTTACAGGTGATTTATAGTTGCTTTAATTCTTTATGAGTACAATGAAAAATCAGCTGTTGTCTATGTATTAAATATCTAAAAGAAAATGTTTAAAACAATAACAAAACCATAAATGAATGACAAAAAATGACAAAAAAGACAACTTGACCTTGATAAAATTTTATATAGCACCACAAAAAAGCCAATTAAATTAAATTACATTCAAACAAAAAAGATATATGTCCAGTGGTATATTGTGTATGGTCTAAATTAAAGAAATGTCATGGGATAGTTTCTTATCTTGCTTATTCATCTAGTCCCTTTTCTCACAAAATTGTGCCTTAATTACCAAGGTAACCTCATTATTAGGTTTACCATTTGAGAACCTGGACTACAACACAGTAAAAGAAACTAACAAGAAATACAAATAAAAAATATGACAGTGGTGATGCATAGTACATTATCACTTATGTCCCACTACATTTTGATAAATTTAAGCTGTCAAATTTATTTCATGAGAAAAATAGCAGAACAGAGTTAGACAATTGAATGAATATATTGACCATTGGCATTTGGACTTCATCATAGTATATATTTTTAAAGTTAATTATTTCTTTTATTTAGCTAGTAAATTTATTCACAAGGGTTTTAATCTATAAATAATTGCACAAGTCCAAATCCAACACTGATTGTGTACAGACCATCTGATATATTCATAGCATCAATGCCTCTGACTTCCTCTCCAGCCCACAGTCAGTCAGTCTAACAATAGCTGACCTACTTCAGGACACCACTGGCAATTTATTTTATCCATCCATTATCTTTTACTCGCGTCTTCCATTATGGGTCGTGGGGTTGCTAGTGCCTATAAACAGCAATCTCTGTGCAAGAGGCGGGATACACCCTG